GCATGTGCACACCCAGCCAGGTTGCAATAGCACCCAGGGCCAGCAACAAGTTTGCTCCACTCCAGAGCAGATGCCCAGAGCTGGGAGAGGCCAGGAAGTGGGAACAGGTACTTTGAAGCCTGTGTGATGAGGGGCCTTCCTGGGCCCTCAAGGGTGCAGGGATGCTTTGGTCTGGAGCCCTGGCTGGGTGGCTGCAGCTGTGCCTGGCAGCACAGGGCTCCTGCTCACCAACACAGTAGAGAGTGGGGCCCCCGCCTGTTCCCCAGCCCCCACCAGCTCTGTGGAGGACACAGCCCTGGTTGCACCTCCCCCACTACAGCTGGTGTCCCTACAGCAGCTGTTGCAGAGAGGCCACTGCTGCCATGAACAGAGCAAGACCTTGTCTCAGAAAAAAAAAAAAAAGAAAAAGAAGATTCAGAGAACCAAGAAAGGCATAAAGGTAGAAAATATAAAAGCCATTTTAAATGCTGTAAAATTGCTTAGTACAGAAAAAGGATTTCTACATTCCTAAATTTCCAGTAACTGAAGGGCATTGACAAAATGGTTTTTTGAACAGAAATAGAGGAAAGGACCTTATATATAACAAAATAAAATGAAACTAAGCATTAGAGAAAACTTTCTAGTGTAAGAAAAATTAATCAAATACTTGAAATTGGCGAAACTGCCTTAATAGGGTACTCTTTGGTTCGAAAGTATTAGATACAACGTTTTAGCAAGTGTATGAAATACCAGTGACTTTTGTTATCTTAACATATTGATAATGACAGATTTGAATTTGGGTTTTGATCTTCCCAAAGGAAAATTAAATCCATCAGAGCAAAGAAGCCCAGCTGGCATAAGCACTTGACAGATTCAAAAAAGATAGGCCTGTTGGTTGTCTGTAACATATTCTATTCTCGACCTTTAGTTTCAGCTTTAACATTTCTATCCTTTCAAATGCTACTCTGGCCCGTCCACCTGCATCAAATGAATAATAGGTTTTTACAAGTCATAGCAATTTTTTCCGGAATATAAGACAATGAGTGGCCATCTTTAGAAGGAAATTGTTTTTTAAGAATCAGGCTATTCCTTTTCATTTGAACTAATTACTTGGTGCCTTCAGAGCTTTGCTTTCATATACTATGTATATTGTAGTCATACTATGTCCTTTGCATTTGTTTCAGTTTATAAAGAGTACAATTAGCCTTTTTAATGCTTAGTTCAGTCACAATTAAAGCTCCCCTAATGGTTAGGGATTGGTCTTTCCAAGGCTGAGAAGGTGTTTTTAATTATTCATTCCTCTGTTGCTTACAACAGCCTCAGCTGTGCTTTATTATTCAAAGGTTAATGCAAACTGAGAAGTGGATAAATTAAATCTGCTTGGCAGCCAACAACCCAACATGTTAGCAGACACTGTAAGATGGGGATGGGCAGTGTACGTTATTTCCATCATTGCCTCACTGCCAAAAGCAAAAACCACTAAATCCTTCAAAGATAGCCCACGTTGACAGGAATTATTAAAGGATACTACAAATTGATGGTTCTTAAATAGCAGATCTTCTGTAAAATCTGTTTGTTTTGCTTACAAAGAGAAGGCAGTGGCTGAAATCTAAAAGGCATTAATAACTACTGTAGAAAATGGATGTAGATACCATGACTAATGAACTTTGTGTAATATTAAATCACCAACTTGAGTGCTAGAAGTCACTTCTATAAATGTTTTACAACGGCCAACTGCAAAATCTCACATGAAAGCTGGGGCCTAATAGACCGTCCTTAGACAACTAAGCAATTGAGTAGTGAACTATGACATAACGTGAAAGTGCTGTGATAACTTAACTCTTGTGAGCAACAGGATGTTTCTAGAGTCTTTCATTTGCTTCCTTTTGAAAATGTGTATTTATAGTTATAGAACTCAGAATTTTATAGACTCTTAAGAGGGTGCCCTCTAGAAATACTGACCACAAATGATGTGGAGGGAAAATAAATCATTTTATCAAGGAAAATAGATTTTATGAATATACCAAAAGCCAAAATGTAAACTTGAGTCTTCTATTTGGTTAGTCATCATCTCTTTCCGCCAGGTATTCTGTGTGGCTGCTATCTTAAAAACTTGCATCTAGTTGGGACTGCACTTTCCCTAAGAGCCTTTGGAGCTCAATTAATTGCCTTCCATCACTTTTCTGTGGAACAGATAAGAAAGATAAACCTGTGCCATGCTGCCCACACTGTTCTTGACTCCCTTTGACCAGAAACCCATTTGTCTTCCCAACCCTTCTGATGGACTGAAGGAAAGAAGGAAGGATAGGCCATGAAATCTGTGCATATCATTGACAGCCTGAATTCTTTTTTTTTTTTTTAACATAAACCCTGATTTTTTCCTGAAAGCCACTGCAAAGTATTAGGAAATCCAGGTTTATGAGATTAAATAGGGATTTAAGGAGGAAAAGTATAGCAATCTGATTTGAAAAGAATAATCCTATCTCACATAGTTGTCACTTGGGTTAAAGATGATGATGAATGTGAAAATGCTTTGTCAACTTGATAAGCCTATCCAGAGATTAAATATTGTTAAATAAATTGCCAAATAACTAACTGAATGTTATTATATAAATATTGTTAGCTTAATTGTTAAGTGTTTAGAAGATATTAGGACATACCTATAATTTCTTCAGACTGTAATATCTCTAATCTGTACTTTTATTGGCACTTGTTTGTAATTCTAGTCAATTCTAGTCTCTTAAACAGAAAGGTAGTGAACTAATGTTGATACCATTTAGTTTATCATTGCTGCTATAGTCTTCTCTATCTCCTACTTCCAGTCCACACTAAGCCTTGCTGTCAGAGCATTGTATGGGAAAAAAAAGATGAGCTTTTCAGTGCTCATCTAGGTTTGAAATGCATTTTCATCATTTACTGTGTAATCATTGCCAACCCACTGAACTTCTTTGACCTTTAGTTTTAGATAACATTTAAGCTTGCAAAGTGACAAGATTTTAGAAAAATATATGTTAATAATATTTACCATTTTTAAAGAACCTACTCTTTGCCAGACACTACACTTGATACTGAATGTATGTAAAAATAAAATGTCTTAATTCTTATTATATACTTACAAGGTAAAAAGTGTTGCCTTTTTTACAGATAAAAGAGCTGATGCTCAGTAGTATGAAATGTGCCTGGCTCAATGTCGGACACATGGAAGATGTTCATAAATGGTAAATATTCTTATGTGGATTTCATTATGTGTTTCCTAATTAGAACATTCCACTAGCGCCTATCAAACCTTTCATGGGCATACCAGTCATCTGAGGACCTTGTTAAAAATGTAATTTCTTGTTCAGTAGGTTTGCCCAATGCTTCTGCTTACTGGACCACACTCTGAGACCCTCAGTGACTCCATAGTCTGTAATAGTAGTTCTGTCATGGTGATTCTAGTTGTTCATTGGACTCTAATTCATCTGGTCTGGTTTGGGATCCAGGCTTTTTTATTGTTCTTGGGGCAGGGTGGGAGTTCCAGAATTTTTTTCTAGCTCTTTTTAAAGCAGTGGACGCCTTTTATGCAAAGAGTATTTAAAGAAATTATGTACCGACGACGTACACAAACACAGCAGAGTTTGTATTGTGTCTCAGCTGGAGATTGAGCAGCAAACTTAATGACCCCAAAAGACCTCAGTGGAGCCCTGCAGCTCCTAGGAGCAGCAAATTTGAATATCACAGTTCTTCAGAGTACTTTTGCAATTCCTTATTATATCATTTAAGGCCTCTTCACTATCTGATCCCAGCCGTCCTGGCATATTTGCTGTTCTTCCAACAGGCAACCCACTTTCTTCTCCTTGCCTTTTTTCCTTGAAGTGCCTTTAGTCTGTTACGCTTTATCTCCTGTACCAGTTAAAATCTACTTCACCTTTCCAGCCCAGCTTAATCGCCACCCCTTTTATGAAGCCCTTCCCTAGAGGAGATGTGGTTCATGTCAGAACCTCCTATGGGACTTGCTCAAACGATATACTCATCCTGAGAGAACCTAATGTGTTTCTTTTTCCCAGGTCACTGATGAAATGAAACATGGTACTACTGTGGTATAAGACAGGTTGAAGAAGCTCACCTACCAGGAAATGAATAACTTTTTTTTTCTTTACAGGGCTCCCATAGCATCTTGATTGTGAATTCTGTGGAACAAATACATCTTGCCTTCTCTCTTGTTGCCCAGACAGGAATTCTTTTGGGAATCAAGAATGTTCATTATCTTGCCCATATCACAGAACAGTGCCCTACACATAGTAAGCACTGAGAAAAGATGTATGTATTAGTCCATTTTCATACTGCTGTGAAGAAATACCCAAGACTGGATAATTTGTAAAAAAAAAAAAAAAAAAAAAAGGCATAATGGACTCACAGTTTCACATGGCTGGGGGGCCTCACAATCATGGTGGGAGGTGGAGGAGGAGCAATGGCATGTCTCACATGGTGGCAAGCAAGAAGGCATGTGCAGAGGAACTGCCCTTTATAAAACCATCAGAGCTCATGAGACTTACTATCAGGAAAACAGCATGGGAAACATCCACCCCCATGATTCAGTTACCTCCCACTGGGTCCCTCCCATGACACATGGGAATTTTGGGAGCGACAATTGAAAAAGAAATTTGAGTGGGAACACAGTCAAACCATGTTAGTGGGTAACTACTGAAAATAAGCTAGTATTTTAGTCCTGTGAGAGTCTTGATTTCCTGAAGTGTAATCATAGGAAAGTTTTTAAGTGAGTCCACTTAACAGTACTTGTTTTTTTGGGGGGGGCGGGGTGTGAGGGGATTGCTTTGTTTTTGAGATGGAGTCTCACTCTGTGGCTGAGCCTGGAGTCAAGTTTCATGATCTTGGCTCACTGCAACCTCCACCTCCAGGGTTCAGGCCTCCCAAGTAATCTCAGTCTCCCAAGTAGCTGGTATTACAGGTGCCTGCCACCATGCCCAGCTAATTTTTGTATTTGCAATAGAGACAGGGTTTTGCCATGTTGGCCAGGCTGGTCTTGAATTCCTAAGCTCAAGTGATCCGCCCACCTCATCCTCCCAAAGTGCTGGGATCACAGGCATGAGCCACGCCTGGCCTCAACACTACCTCTTGTTGGCAATCAATCAATATCTTTTAATGTTAGATTATTATTTACAGAGCCTATTTTAGCCATCTAGCACTTTTCTTCCTGAACAGGGCTGACATTTAGGCTTTCTTCTGCTAAACTTAAAAAAAAAAAATTTTGTTGAAATAGTAATGAGTGTATATCATGGAGGTGAGAGGATTAATTTTAAAGCCACTGTTTCAGAGTATGTGGGAACTTTGGCCTGGCGCTGTGTTCAGATGTTATAGAATGGATGATACAAAACTGAAGGTATTCTTTGCTGAATTATAAACCAAGAATGGTGGAATTTACCAGGTCATTTGTCTGTTTCCTTCATGGTCTCAGCATTTAATGGGGAGAAGTATGGGGAACAGAGAGAGACATTAGCATCCAAGATGTCACACAGCTGGAAATTAGAACCCTTAAAGAGAAACTCTTAACTGTTTCCATAGTGTAAGTGCAGAGGTCAAGGAAGAGGTGAGCCCTACTAGTTTCTTACTTTGCCTGGTATCAACAGTAGTGTCACAGGATCCTTCAGGTGTCACTTCAGCAGCTGGAAACCTCTGTGACTGGCAGGGCCTCTGCTTGAGTTTTGCACATGCCCACTGGGATTATTTCACTCACTTGGCCCAGCAGGCTGCGCTCAGCTTCTGCTACTGGCGTGGATCCCACCCCGGCCAAGGGTGAGCCAGGTGCAAAGTGGTGAGGGGTGTATGAGTGAGCAAGCATGGGGTCTGGCCGCTGTGCACAGCCAGGTACACCAGCTCCTGTGGCAGGGCAGGCAGCTACAGGTACAAGCTCCATCCAAGACTGTGGCTGTACCAGATGTACTGCAAGAGGCCTCCACTGCAGGCACCCACATCCAGATAAGGGAATGCAGTGGTGCCTGAAAACTCAGAGATGCCAGGAACTGCAAAGCCCTATAGAAGGTGTTAACAGTGTGTCACAACTCTGGCTCAGGGAGCCTGAGGTCTGGGATCCTAGGAGGACCGCAGCTCTTCTTTCTTGTTGCCTATAGCTCGGCAAGTGGAGGAGAGCATGTTTTCAGGGGGGCGTGTTTCAGCCTGTTGTGCTACAGCTCTTTCAGTCCCACCGCCCCACTCCAGCCCATGGCACTTGAGCTGACCTGGCCCCACCACTGCAGGTTTCAAGCTCTTGTCCCTTGTCTGGGAAGAATGAGATTATGCAGACAACTGGAGGGTAAGACAGACATAAGCTTTACTGGGTGACAGAACAGCCCTCAGGAGACCCAAAATGGGTAACTCCCTTCTGCAGGCAGGTCATCCCAATGAGTGTCTGAGTCTGGCTGAGTCTGGGGTTTTTACGTGCTCAGAATGGGGGAAGTACGTGCTTATTGGCCCATGGTCAGGCCTGGAAAAAGCACAATTCGATTGGCCAAAAGGCATCAATGCAGTTCTCACTCCGGATTGCAGACTCCATCTGTAATTAGCAGCCCAGCCCCAGACTTCAGACTGTTCCTGGCTTGAGGGTGGGATTTCGCCAGGGACCCACCCCTCCCACGTAGGTACCTGGTCTGCCTCCTACCACTATCAACATGCCGTCTGTGGTGCCCAGGCTGTCCGTGCTGAGGGGTGCCTGCAGGCCCATGCTGAGCTTCCCTTTGCATCCCCAGCCTCCTTCCCTGAGTTCATCAGCACCCAAAGCTTCAGAGGGTGCCAAGGTGGCAGGGGCAGGAGGAATGGCATTTAGCTGCCTCTCCAAGTGTGTGCACACCCACTTGGTGACAGTGCCCAGGCTCGGCTACAACTTTGCTCTGCATTGAAGTGGGTGCTGGGAGCAGGAAGAGGCCAGGGAGTGGCTCAGAAGTGCCTACAGGGGCAGGGCACTTCCCAGGTCCTGAAAGCACAAGGATGCTTGGTCAGAACTGCTGCTGGGCAGCTGCTGCTGCACTCAGAAGTGCAGGCTCCAACCCTGCCAACTTGGTAGGGTCTGGGGCTCCCATTGGGATGACCTGTTCCCTGCCCCTGCTGGTTTCGCAGATCGTGCAGCCCCAGATGCACCTGCCCCCGTGCCTGGTGTCCCTGCAGTAGCTGATCCAGATGTGGCACCCCCACCATCAATAGCATAAACTTACATAGCCCTTACTGTGAGCCAGGTACTGTTCTAGGCACTTTGTATATATTAGTTCATTTGATGTTCACATCAACTTTCTGAAGTAGCTATTTTTTTGGAGATGGACAACTGTAACATCAAAAGGTTAAGTAGCTTGCTCTGAGTTACACGGTAAGTGGCACTGCCAAAATTTGGAACCTTCATCTCTGGATCTGAAGCATACTTTCTCTACCACTATGTTGTGGTAATAGATTCATGTTTTACTACAGATATTTCTTTGTTATTCTTCAATAAGCATTTATTAAGTGTCTCTGTGTGCAGGTCACTTTTGCTGTTAGTCTTCTGATCATCTTCCTTTTCCTCTGCTTTGATAACATTGGCTTCTAGACAGCATGGTGGAAGAGGACAGTGATGATGGGTCTTGGAGCTAGATGACTGTGTAAGGAATATTTTTAAAATATGCAGGTTGCAGGATATCAAAGCCAACCTTTTTAAGAATAAACTAGACAACTATATGAAGAAATTGTTTATTATTTTAATAACCAAGAAAGAAAAGATGTTCTCAGCCAAAGAAAAGCATATTGAGTATCTTGTAGATATTTAACCTACTTTGGAAACAACTTGTCTTGACAGTAACTCTTTATACAAATTACATATCTTAACTAGTCTGTCTAAGATAGTTAACTGTCCCTCAGATCTGTACCATCTTAACTTCTAAATGTAATTTTTACTGTAAATACTTTTTAAATATTAGAAAGTAATAATTATGCAATTAGAATGATACCAGGGAGCTTTACGTTCTGCCAGGTATAAGTGGTAACGTTTCTGAGAATTGAAAATTTTTATGGAGGGATTTGGCTTCCTGAAAACTGTGTAGGGGCAGCAATGGCTTACACTCTTGTTAAAAGCTTGTTTATACTGCAGATACGATCAGTAGATACAGCTTCCCTGTCTAACAGGTGGCAGGTGGGGATGGAATTAATTAAAGAAATATTCCTTGTTACATTGGCTAGCTCACAGGCCCAAGTGTTCTTAACAGTACAGATAAGAGAGGCTGTTTCTGGAAGCCCTGAGTTCCTTGAGACCTTTCATTACACCTTTGAAACATGCCCAGAATGAAAAGATTGAAAAATATATTCAGATGCTCATCATAATCTCTGGTGATCTGTCAAGCAGGGTAGTTTGTCATGATGGTAACCTTTCTGGTTTTTTTCACTTCGGTTTTTGTATCTAATCGGTAGGAGCAGTGACAGGGTAAGAGTCTGCACTTTAGGATTAGAGCAGTGGTCCCGCACCTTTTGGCACCAGGGACCAGTTTCATAGAACACAGTTTTTCCACGGATGGGGTGGGTTGGGGAGATGGTTTTGAGATGATTCAAGCACATTACATTTATTATTCACTCTATTTCTATTATTACATTGTAATATGTAATAAAATAATTATATAACTCACCATCATGTAGAATCAGTGGGAGCCCTGTGCTTGTTTTTCTGCATCTAGACGGTCCCATCTGAGGGTGATGGGAGACAGTGACAAGTCATTAGGTACTAGATTCTCATAGGAGCACACAACCTAGATCCTTCACATACACAGCTCACAGTAGGGTTTGTGTTCCTATGAACACATCTAATGCCACTGCTGATCTGACAGGAAGAGGAGCTCAGGCAGTAATGCAAGCAGTGGAGAGCGCCTGTAAATACACATGAAGCTTTGCTCACTCACCTGCTGCTTATCTCCTGCTGCGTAGCCTGGTTCCTAACAGGACGTGGACGGGTACTGGGGGTTGAGGACCCCTGGATTAGAGGATCCACGTTTTCTTTTCTGGATGTGACCTTGAGCAAAGCATTTTCCTTTTCTGACCCTTAATGTTATCACCTTTGAAATGAAGGCTTTCAATGGAAATGTTCAGTGGGGAAGGAGCCTTTTCATTTTTCCTAAGTATTGCTTTCTTTCCTCTTCCCTCAATATACATGCTGAGAATCACTGGTGAAGTGAGTCATTTTTACTGCAAGGGGAGGAGGGTATAGTGGAAAGAAAGATTGAGAACCACTCAACTCATTTTTAGAGTCCTTTCAGCTAATTAAACGTTCTGTGATTCGGTATTTTAAGTAATTCTGATTGATTTTATGCCTAATTGTCCCACTCAGTGGAGTTCTAGTCCAGTTCTAATGCATGCTCGCTTCTGTGTTATAAGAAAGTTGAATTCTAGATGGTTTCCAGTCTTTGTAATCATAATCTATTTCTAACAACCCATATATATACAGTTTGAACTTTGAACTTAAAAAATCCAAAATTTGATTTTTTAAATCTGAAAAACTTCTGGCCCCAAGCATTTTGGATAAGGCATACTCAACCTATAAAAATTAAGACTTGGTTCTTGTTGATTCCATGGTTGGTCATTATGTTTACAAGGAAATGTGTATTATAAAAATGTAGCTTAAAAAGAAGAATATACAGTTTTTCCCTGTAGTCTTTCTTCCTGCTTCCCAGTTTCTCTACTTCTCCCTGCTCACTACTTCATACAGTTATGTCTCTTAAAATTTTAAATCTGTTAGCATAGTTGTGTACTCGTTGCAACATATCCACACATTGGGAAAATTAAATATACACACAGGTAACACAAAAAGAGGCAGGAAAGTCAATGAGCATCATGAACTTACTGAAGGAGTCTTCCTTTCTCAGTGACTCATAGAAGGCTAGTTTACTCTCTAAGTTTGCTGGCTACTCCTTTCCCTGGGAAAAGGAAGTATTATGATTATTAAGTAGTAGTTATTTTTTTGTTTAAAATATTCATTTTCTTCTGTTTCTTCCTCTCTGCTAAGTTGTTGACAGTGATAAGGGTACAAGGTAGGTAACAATAGTGACTTTAAAATGAGATTTGGTGAAAGATAGCCAAAATCATTTTTTTCATCTTTACATCTCAAATCTGTAAAGTGTGATTGAGGATAAATATCATTCCCATTTATTAAGCACTCAGTGACCAAAAAGTAAAAAATAATTATTTCTCTTGTAGTATTTCAGGAAAATTAGAACCAGATGCTTAAGGACTAAAAAGAAACCTTATGGAAGATAAAATTAACAGTCCAGCTCTGCATGGAGTTTGGTATATGAAATGGATCTTTTCTATCAGCACTATTGTATCCTAACATCCTAAGATGTTTTGGTAGACACTGGCAGTACTTTTTTTGTTGTTTGTTTGTTTTTTAAGTTAATGAATACAAATACAGGGAATCTCAGGAGTTTATGGAATACTAGTCTTCATTTGTCCTCTGCTCAGACACCACAGAATTGGCTTGTTTCTGAACACCCCTTGGGGCATAGGGAATGCCTTTTTACTATCAGTGTAGAGTTCTTTTTTTCCTGTGATCCAGTTAATGCTGTTTCTTAATATGTCTTCTTCCCCCAATATTAAAGGTCCTATATATATGTTTTTATAATATTTATATTTGTATGGCATGTTACCACTTCCAGAGGAGAGCCTAGTACAGCCCTTAGAGGATCGGAAAGGTTGCAGCTAAGTTAAGAGTTAGGGGTCAAATAGAATGGTCAGACCTGTAGAATATCTTATGCAAAAGCCAGGAGACAAGAAAGAGACCAGCGCCCTTGAAAGCTCTGCAAGTAATTCCAGTATGATTCAAGTAATAGAGTTGAAGCGGGGGGAGCTCTGGGATGGCAAGGGATGGGGCCAGAAGTGTAAGCAGGAGCCAAATCTTTATGAAAGACCTTGTATATCCTACAAAGATCTTTGGGCTTGATCGTGAAGAAGCCAGAGAAAGCAGGGAAGTAAAAGATCCTATTTAAAGGAGTTTCTGGAAATTGCCCTATCTGCAGTTTGGTGAACAGATTGGAGGGAAGCCAAGCTGAAGGCAGGGAAACCACACAAGATGCTGGTGCCCTTATCTAAATGAGAGCTGATGCAGCCAGTAGTCAGAGTACAGAGGTAACTGTGAAGTAAGATTCAACAGGATTCGAGGGACTTAGAGCAGAGGAGAAAGAAGAGGCATAGTCAAGGATGACTCTCAGATTTATGACCAAATTAGACATGATAGCAGTTTGGTAAGTGATTGTCAACAGTAGATAATGAAATACCCAGAATGAAGGTGAAAAGACTAGGTAGCTAAGGGTGGAACCCCCAAGTAGGCAGACATTGAAGAGGACAAACAAATTGGAGTAGAACCCTAAATTAGAGGGAGACTGACACTAGAGAAATGCCTTCATTATTGTGTTGTATGCCAAAAGCTCAATATCCCTGCAGCTAGCTTCCAAAGGGGCTTTGGACATAGGTGCAGTATGTCGTGTGAATGTCAACAATGTACTTCCCCAGTGGAAGGATGAATTCAGTTACATGGACTCTGCTTATAAGCAAGGATTGCTAAAGCTTTTGAAAAATCCCCTCATCTTCTCACTACCCCATCCCTGGTAATTTCAGGTCAGTTCCCTGGACTGACCTTACAGGGACTGAGAACACCTATCTATTCCTCAGACAAGATACTTCCTACCTGATCAGTCACACACTTACTTTAAGAGAATTTCACTGGGTTGTAGGATTAACAGACAGCAATCTCACTTGCTGTGTAGTATGCTTAGATTTTTTTAAACAAACAGTTTAGGTATCTATTGCAGTTAAAACTTTATTTTTAGCCAGCTTATCCCATGAATACTAATTTCAATAAGCCATTCCCCTTTGATTTCTTCTAGTTATGCCATAAATTATAATCCCTTCAATCAAGATTTAGACTTACAATATACATAGCTAATATTTATTCGGTATTTGCTATGTTCAAGCAGGATTCTAAGCACTTTTTTGGTAATAATATCATTAAACCTCCCAGTAACCTCCCAACTTCTTTGAGTCATGATGTAGAAATGTAATGTGAGCTATGTATGTGATTTTAAATGTCCTAGTGGCCACATTAAAAGAAGAAAAAGAAATAGGTGAATTTTATCTTAATACATTTTTGGCCCACTATTTCAACCTGTAATTATTATTAAATAATTATTAAATAGGTAAGTAGTAATTATTAAAACTACTAATGAGATATTTTACTTTCTTTTGAGGTACTGTTATCTCATTTTACTTACAAAGGGATTGAGGCACAGAAAGGTTAATTGAAAAGTGGTGGCATGTCAGACACATTCTTTCTATGGAGCCAGAATCCCAACATTGCTTAGGCATCCTTCCTCTTTACCTGTCCCAAAGTCGGTGTTAAGTGAAAATGCAGTAGCACAGCCAAAAACTCTCGGTCTTAGAATCACAGGTGTGGCACAGCAGATTGAAAGTATTCAGTATATTTAAAGCATCTTATGATCTTAAGTAAAAACTGTGAGAGCATAATTCTTTTTATGATTTTCATTGTATATAATATTTCAGCTGTATATCGGGTCTCATCCACCATAGGCTGCAGCATGGGAAGCTGAACACAGTTTGATTCTGCTGCGAATTTCTCCTGAAGCAGCAACCTTGGGCATTTAGCTAAATTACAATTTGCTGATATTTTGCATTCTAAAAGATTTATCTCATTGTGTTTTGTTTTGAAATTTCACTATGAAAGCTTTAGGTTTTTTTTTTCTTGTTTAAAAAATCTGAAAGAAAAAAAAACGAGGGAATTGATCATTTTCAGAACGTTGCAAGTGGGAAAATATTACTAAATAACCTCATACCTGAAAATCCTGATATTAAAGAAACATTCTATTCGTCGATAATTTGGATTTCCTAAGAGTGGCAGCAGTGGATTTAGATGATTTCTAAAATTCTGCTATATCTAAATACACATCATAAGAAATTAATTACAGAATCATGACTATTATTTTTGGATGTACACATCTTGGTAGCCTGATTTTCCAGTTCTGAAACCATTCTTACAAATTCACTAAGCAGTCAACCTCTTTGAGTGAAATTCTGTATCATCTACAACACATAACAGCAAACAAAATAGCAATTGACATTTGGAGGGTTACTACTGTCCAAGTTCTGTGGTTTTGTGAGTACAATTCTAAAAATTTACAAAGTTGCTGATATAATTATCTCATTTTGCAGTCGAGGAAACTAAAACATAGAAAAATTACATATTTACTCAGATCCTAACAGGTTTTAAATGCCAAGGCTAGGATTCACACAACTTAGTCTGACTTCAGAACCTGTTTATGTTATTCATCACTGCTCTATACTGCAAGTGTCCTCTGGCACTAAATTTTATTTATCAGCTTGAGAGATAAGTGATCATTAAAAGTATAAAACAGTCTACAGCATTTCTTTCTCACTTCTTGATTCATAATACAGAAATATGATGTGAGCCATGTTATATAAACTTAAATTTCTTGGTAGCCACATTAAAAGAAGAAAAAAATAAATAGGTGAAGTATATTTTTAATATATTTTTAGCCCAGTATATTCCAAGTGTTATTTCAGCATGTAGTTATTTATTAATAATTATTAAATTAATAGGCAAATAGTAATTATTAAAATTATTGAGATATTTGACTTTCTTTTGCATTGTCTTCAAAATTTCGTATATATTTTACACATACAGCACATTTCAATTTGCCCTAGCCACATGTCAAGTGCTTAATAGCCTCATGACTGCCGTATTATACAACAAAGTTTTAGATGTTGAGTTCTCAACTGGTACATATCCAAATAGAATTGGGACAGAGGGCTGTGCAGTTCAAGAACCACTGTTTTAAGCTTTGGGATTGCAAGTGATACAGATATACCATTTCTAAAATGTTGGAAGAGTCCAGGTAGCTAAAACCCAATTTTTATATGAAAAAAATAGTGTTAGTTTTATATGCTTTTTTTTTTAAAGAGTCTCACTCTGCCACCCAGTCTGAAGTGCAGTGGCATGATCTCGGCTCACTGCAACCTCCACCTCCCAGGTTTAAGCAATTCTCCTGCCTTATTGCCTTAGCCTCTGGAGTAGCTGGAATTACAGGTAACCACCACCACACCCAGCTAATTTTTGTATTTTTTTCTTTTAGTAAAGACAGTTTTACCAAGTTGGCCAGGCTGGTCTTGAACTCCTGGCCTCAAATGATCCACCCGCCTTGGCCTCCCAAAGTGCTGGGATTACAGGCTAGTTTTATATGCATTTTAAAAGATCAGTCTGTTTTCAAGACTATTTGTTGCTACTGGCTAAGGTTTCTTAAAGAGCCATACTTTGACAACATAAACCAATTCAGAGTGATAATATTAGCTGTGATATTTTGGTCCACTGTTAATAACTACATAGACAGCTGACTGACTTCAAAGAACCAATAAAACTTGGAGTTCTGACTGAGAGCCAAATAAAACTTGGAATGGACACAAATTGAGTTTATGTTATCTGCAGACATCACCCTTTTTTGTGAGATAATGCTGTCTTCAGAGTCCCTTCCTCAGCCACACTATTTGTTGGTGACTCCTTATTTAACCTATATCTTATAACCTGCTATGGTTACCATTCTTAGGAGGCCATTTTAAGATTTCTCAAAGTGACTCCGAGAAATTATAGCTTGGTGTTTGCTGAGTGTGTTTGTGTACGTTATTTCATAGCTGTATATACACTCCTGTGTGTGTTTTTAACTGAATTTATTCATCTACCTTGAAGTAATGTTGTAACTATAAACCTATAATCTTCTCTATTTTTTAGCTCTTCCTTCTGATAAGCTTATCTATTCATATTGGGTTTAATTATAGCTCAGGGCATAACCATGTGTATTATTCATCTGAGTGAGTGAGCTTGTCTGGCAACAAGAGGCTGTTGTTGCCAAAGCTTTATTGTCATCTGTGCTGAATATATTCTGTCTGTGCCTCATTGCCAGCCTCAGGAGGCGGTAAGGGGGAGATGGGGGAGGAGTGCTGTACTCTGGTCCCTTGCACCACTGCTTCTCAATGTATTTCAGCCCCTTTGCAATAAGCTAGGATAACTGTGATTTTATTTCATCTTATTTTAAATAAGAGAAATCAAACACTAGAACTAAAATTTAACTCTGCTTCATTTCCCATCTCTACATCTGTTCCTTCCCATCTCCCCACTCTACCTCATCCCTTGTTTTTCTCACAACCACTATCATGAATTTAGGCTTATCTTTCCAGGTCATTTCTTAAAAGACTTTGACACAGATATGTGTACATAAACAATTTAAAATATTCACACAGTAGGATCTGTTTTTAACTTATACAGTAGGATTTACACTGTACATATGCAGCAGCTTGCTTTTCTCACCATATTGGTGGACTTTTGACATAATTTTTCTTAATATAAAAATTGGGTATATATGTAATAACGTACCTAACACATTAGTAGGTTAGAAAACTTAGTAATAAAACAGAAAGCACCTGAATCCACTGCACACACTGAGAAGTAAAACATACCCAGAACCACTGAAGCTCCGATGTGCTGCTTCTCCAACCTCTGCTCCCACCCAGAAAACTACTCTTCTAAACCGTTTTTTTTTTTCTTACTTGTTTTCTTTCCTTACCTTGTATTTATGTGTCCCTCAATAGTATGTTTCCTTGTTTGATTGTTTTGAGCTTTGTAGAAATAGTATCATACTGTATATACTTTTTAGACTTAATTTTTTATTCAATATATTTTTAAGATTCCTTCATGTTAATCTGTGTATTTTTCACTGCTGTATAGTATTCCTTTGGGTGGATTTACCCATTTTTCTGTTAGTGGCCATTTGTCTTGTCTCCAGGTTTGCTATTATAAATAGTGCTTCTATAAACATTCTTCTCAGTGTCTTCTGGTGGTACACAAATGTAAACATTTCTCTGTAGTATAATTGCTATGTTGTAAAATAGGTGTACAGTTGACCCTTGAACAACTCAGGGGTTAGAGGTACCAACCCCCTTTGCCATCAAAAATTCATGTATAACTTTTGACTTCCTCCAAATTTGACTACTGATAATACCCTACTGTTGACAAGAAGCCTTATTCATAACATAAACATTTAACACATATTTTGCATGTTATATGTTTTATATACTGTATTCTTATAGTAACATATGCTAGAAAAAAGAAATTAGAAAGTCATAAGAAAAAATGCACTTACAGCATTATACTGTGTTTATAGATACCCTAAGTTTACATCATCTGTTTACAAGATGAACTGGCAGCTAACCACAACTATAGACCCCAGTCTACAGTGTATATCAAGTAATTCAACTTTTTCTTGTAATGGCATGACTTTTCTCTGCTTCTTAGGAGCACTTCCAGAATCACTAGTGGCCTTTCATGTGGCTCCCATGGTGTTATTTAAGATTTATGGTATTGCATAAACACAATGAACAATGAAAAATATGCGAAAGAGAGCACTTTTTGCTGCAATATGCAATTTGCTGGAGAGATGAATTGCTCATGCAGAGATGATTTTTGTCACATGGCATTTTAGGCATTTTAAGCAGCTATTGGCAATAGTGGAGTTCATTGCAACAGCAACAGGAGGTGGTTACAGGATTATTACAGTAGTACAGTATGTACTACAGTTACTTTTATGCAGTTATGACAATTCTATATGTTTGTGTTTGCTTACATTTCTTTTAACTGCACATGGCATTATGTATGGTTTGGGTGTATAATTTTAACTTCGTAAGAGATTTGTATATATTTTCTGGTGGTAAATGATAAGAAAAACTAGTATCTAAGTATATTTGTGCACTCATGACATTCCTTTTTCTTAATTTTTAAATATAGAAATATGGAAAGGCTAGTGGTTTGTCAGCGAGTTTTTTCAAATTGTCACAAATGTCAAATTTTTCTAGTGTATTTTCTTGGGAAAAAATTGCGTGTAAGTGGACCATGCAATACAGACCTTTAGGGATCAACTTTATATTGTTGTTCAGGGGTCAACTTTATATTCGGCTTAACTAGATGAGCCTATATTCTTATCCAGAGTGATTACTCACACTCATCAGCAGTACATAGGAGCTTCTGGTTTTTCCACATCCTCTTCGATGCGTGGTTCTGTCAGGCTTTTTTTTTTTTTTTTTTTTTTTTTTGGCCTGTGTGTTTTGCAAAATAATATTATCAAAATGTGATTTTCAGTTTCATTTCCCTGATTTTGATGAGATTGAGCATTTTTCATATGATTATTGGTCATTTGTGTTTCCCTTTTTTTGGAAATGTCTATGTCTTTTTAAATAGAGTTTGTCTTTTTTTAATTGATTCTTAGGAACCTTGTATTTTCTCGACACTAGAATTCGGTCACTTTTATATGATCCAGGTATCTCCAAGTATCTTTTCTCAGTTTGTGG